TACTCAATTAGACATATTATTATTTAAAATTAAATTAATTAATAATTTAATATATAATGTATGAAAAAAGATTTAGAAATTTTATTAAATTATTTAAGAATTCTATTAATTTTTTGTAAGATGACTTTTGTTTTCCTTTTTGAAAAATTAGGGATAGATAATTTACCAAACACATAAATTATAAAAAGTTTTGTAAATATCTATGAAAAGTATTGTAAATAACATTGTCAAACTAAATCTTAGCTCCATCCTTTTGTGAAATGATTTGGGAGGCTATGAATTTGAGAGATAAATGCCTAGCCATAGTTAGGTTTGACAATTTTCCCAAATCCTTTTGGGATATAACATAACTATTATGAATATTCATTTAGTTAAATTCATATTTGATTTGATGTCTAAGACCTTTTTTTTAGGTACATTGGGCAGTTTTTAAGCATTGATTGATCTAGAGGCTCTAGACCTACACATTCCTATCAAATCATTTCTAAGATGCTCATATACTTGCTGAAGAGGTTCCTTAAATATAAGAAGGCCTTTCTCCAAATGGTAAAAATTAGAAGCCATATAATCAACACAATAATTTGCTTCCCTAAAAATGCAATGCAACTCACATCACCACTCTTTTTTCATGTAGTCTTTGCACTTGTTTAATAGATAGTTGAACATTCTGCTTGTATCCTTCTCAACAAATAACTTCTGTTTTGTGAGCAAAGAACCTGTCCCAATGATGACATGTCTAAATCCTTTATCCCAAGCTAGTTGTAGACCTCTCCAAATTAAAAATAATTCTATACATATAGCAGGACCTAGTCCAAGTTGTTGTGTGAAACCAAAAATCAATTTGCCCCCTAAGTCATGGCAAACACCTCCACATGTGCCATTTGACACCTTTGAGTTTGTTCACAGATTTCCACCAAGGATCTTACTCTCCTTGCCTTCCTTGGAGCTGGAGGTGTCTTAGGTGAGGATGGACACGATCTACTGTCACTATTAGGTGTAGAGGAACGTTGACCTTTACCCATTTCACCTTCAATCATGACTGGATCATCCTCCAAAATGCCATCAACCAACACAGAACTTGGACTTTTCTTCTTATTCTAACTCAATGAATTTTTCTCATCAAAAATCACATCACGACTGATTAGTAACTTCTTGATGATAGGATCATAAAATCTATAACCTTTAGTTTCATCACTATAACCAAGAAAAATGCACTTCACACTATTTTCCTCAAGTTTTGTCCTTTTTTGAGATGGAACATGAACATAAGCTAGACACCAAAAAACTTTAAAGTGAGTTACCTTGGGCTTCCAGCCATGCCAAGCTTCGAAAGGAGTTTGATGAAGCAAAGTTGCTGTGGGACTGTAGTTCTAAATATAAGCTGCAGTGTGAATTGCTTCTGCCTAGAAACTGTTTGGAAGACCTTTTGCTTTCAGCATGCTTTTTGCCATCTCCACAAAGCTTCTATTTTTCCTTTCGGCTCCCTTATTTTGTTGAAGGGTATAGCTTGCTGTCAACTACCTTTTGATGCCAAAATCCTCACCAAATTTGTTAAATTCCGCCGAAACAAATTCTCCACCTCAATCTGTCTGTAGGACTTTGATTGAACATCCACTTTGCTTTTCAATAAGAGCTTTGAATTTTTTGAGGATTGGGAAGGCATCTAACTTTTCTTTGGTAAAGTAAACCCATGTCAGTCTCTTAAAATTGTCAACAAAGACAATAAAATACCTATTCTTGTTGAGAGACAAAGTATTCATTGGTCCACAGATATCTGCATGTATCAACTTAGTAGGTTTCAAAGCTTTTCTCACCTTTCCTTTGGGAAAAGCATCCCGATGATGTTTGCCATAGACACAGCTTTCACACACACCATCAACTTGTTCAATGATAGGCAAACCATGCACTAAATTCTATTTTGACAAAAGTACTAACCCTTGGAAATTCAACTGCTCGTATCTATGATGCCACAACCAGTTTTCATCATGCAAAGTGACATTCAATGCAGACTCACAATCAAGAGTTAAAGGAAAACACTTGTTTTTTGCCACTGGAACTTTAATTAAAAGCTCATTTTTAGTTCCATCTTTGTAAACATAGCAAGCCATATTTTCAAAAACAAGTGAATATCCATCCATCATAAACCAACCCACACTTAGCAAATTAAAATCCAAATGAGGTACGAACAAAACATCATCTACACAATTCTTGCCATATTCATCCAATTTAACTGTACCTTTTCCTCGTGCTTCTCATATGGTACCATCACCTATGGTTATTTTCTTGCTCACTAACTTGTCCAAGTTAATGAAGAGATTAATGTTTCCTGTCATGTGATTGCTGCAACCACTGTCCATATACCAAACATCTAGAACACTTTCTTTAGCAATGTAGCAAGCAAGAAATAAGCTTTCAGTTTCATCATCCTTTTCCTGTGCAAATTTGGCTTGCTTATCTTTAATTCTACAATCTTTAGTAATACGGACATACCTCTTACAAACAAAACACTAAATTAAGTTCTGGTTGGCACTTCTATCATTGGCTCTTTGTTGATGACTAATGCTGCCAAATCGACCTCCATGACCTCTTCTTCTACCTCAGACTGCACCTTGTCCTCTATTGAATCCACCTTTGTTACTAAACTCTGAAGAGCTCCTTCCATATTTGTTTTTGGACAGCTGTAGCTTGCTGTAGAAAGCATTCTCCACAGGATCCTTGTACCTCTTCATCCTGTCTTCATGAGAAAAAAGAGAACCAAGCAACTCATCTGTTGTTAACACAACTAAATCCTTTGACTCTTCTATGGCAGCCACAATATGGTCATATTTCTTAGGTAAGCTCCTAAGCATTTTTTCAACCACCTTTTTCTCGGGCACATCATCACCATATTTCCTCATTTGATTGACAGTTTCTGTCATTTAGGTAAAGAAATCAGACAAGTTCTCACCTTCTTTTATGACCATACCTTCGTACCTTCTACGAACTATTTGTAACTTCATTATAAGCACCTTGGCATTGCCTTGGTACCCTTTCTACAAGGCGTCCCATGCATCTTTTGATTTTGTTGATGCTGAGATGCGTGAAAAGATAGCATCATCTACTCTTTGCTAGATGAAAAACAACGCCTTAGCATCCTTCTTCTTTGTATCCTTGAGTGCCTATGCTGAAAGTATAGCTTCTATGTAACCCCTCTCCACCAAGTCCCATAAGTCTTGGGACATAAACAAAGTCTTCATTTTTGTACTCCAAATTTCATATCCACTTCCTTTAAAGAGTGGAATGGTTGGCTGCGAAAAAATTCCCAAATTGTTGTTTGTGGCCATTTCTTTTGAAGGTAATTGAAGGATAAAAGGCAATTGAAAAAGCAACCAGGCTCTGATACCAGATGATAAAAAAACAGGGATTAAAATAGATTTCTATGAGGCAGATAATCAAACACTTGGTGGGCAATAGAAATGGTGAACTGAATTGATGATATTTATTCAACTGATCTGTGCCCATTTAAATAAAAAAAGTAGAGCAACAGATTGCACAATACAAGGACTCAAAGACTCCACGATCTGGCATCATGAGAGGTTCCTGTAATGATCATTAAATATATATCTAATGGGAAAATAAAAAATAGACATCTTGACATTTAAAACTTTAGGACATTGACCACATGATAATAAATTTAAGGTTAAATCCCTATTTTGGTCCTTGAACTATTGTACGGACCTCCGATTTGGTCCTTAAACTAAAGAAATCCCTGATTTGGTCCCTAAACTATTGTACGGACCCCCAATTTGGACCTTACTGTTTGCAATTTCACCCCAATTTGGTCCCTGAGCTATTATTTAACAGAAGGACCAAGTTGGGGCTAAATCAGTAAACAGTATGGATCAAATTGAGGATCCGTATAATAGTTTAGGGACTAACTCAGGGCCCATATAATAGTTTAAGGACCAACTCAGGGATCCGTACAATAGTTCAAGGACCAAATTAAGGATTTCTTTAGTTTAGGGACCAAATCAGGCGTCCATACAATAGTTTAGGGACCAAAATAGAGATTTAACCTAAATTTAATACAGTTAGGATCCACACTATATCTCACATGTTTGATGGTTGTGATTAGATGTCCTAGTTTTTTAAATGCGAGGAGGTCCTGATTTTCTCTTTTCCCGTATCTAATATACTCCCTTTTTGGTGTCGTCTTCTCATCAGTATCATGATTATGTTTACATTAAGAGATTTACTGTACATTGTTTCTAATAATTACACTTGTCAAGTATCAAATGATCTGTTGTAAAATGCAATCTTTTGGAACAAGCTTTATCATTTTCCTTTGGAAAGTTGAATATACTTCTATTTGGTGTTATATGTGATTGATATGCCCATTCAGGCTTCAGCTTCTGAACATCATAGGTTGCAGTTTCAAGTTTACTTCCTGTTCTGTTATGTGTGCATACGTTTGATATTCCCATTCAGTATTATTTTTTAACAAGATTTTAACTTTCTTCACTCTGCAAACAGCATCACTGTTGTTTTCTTTGCAAAAGAAGGCGATGAGTGTAACCTAACTCCAATGAAGGCAAATTATCTAGCACCAGTGACAATGCATTTTGAACAAGGCCTTGGCCAGAAGTTCAGACAGCCCTCTGGAACACGGATTGACTTCTCCATGTTTGAGGAGTCAGAGCTACTGAAAGAGGGCGATGAAGTGGATATTTATCCTCTAGCAGTTAAGGCAGAGGCATCCCCTGTCAACCATAGTTCAGAAGGGAACCCAGTATCAGGAGTCACAAATTCTCAGATAACTCGGGCTGTGTTTGAGAAGGAGAAAGGTGAATACCAGCTGAAAGTAGTGGAACAGATTCTCTGGGTACATGGGATTAGGAGTGTGCTTCAGGAAATTTATGGAATCGGGAATTCTGTTGATGGTGATGGTGATGTTGATGCTAATGATCCGGGAAAAAAATGTGTTATTTGCCTTTCAGAACCACGGGATACAACTGTCCTTCCCTGCAGGCACATGGTAATCACTCTCTCTTGTTCTTTTCTCCCTTTCCTTTCCTTCCATTTTTAAACTTATTTAATAAATATTGTGGTAAGACTGCATTTGTTACCTACACTAGACCATGAATAAAATGGAATGAATTGATGAAAGCTTGTTTCTAGTATATGGTTGCTGTCAAATTGCCAATCACAGCACTGACTGTCTTCGTCATGTTTCAGAATACTATGAGAGGACACAACCATTATGTTCTTCGGCCCATTCAGTCCTTAATTGATAATACAAGTGGCTGGTAAATTTAATAATGGTAGGAAGAGGTGCCTTGTAACTGATTCCAAATGACCATTCTGACTTTAATTTCCAGAAGGTTTCATTAGGAGTTTTGGTGAATTAAATTTGTTTGAACAATTGTCAAGGTAAATGGATCTTATCAGGAGTTTAGGTTAATTATGTTTATTTGAACCGTTATCAAGGTAAATTAGATCTCAAGAGCAACAGGCATGAAATGCATCGCATCAAACTTTCTATCTCGAAGAACTCTGGTAATCATTTTTGGTTTGTTTATGTTGCAGTGTATGTGCAGTGGCTGTGCAAAGGTCTTTAGGTTCCAGACCAATCGATGCCCAATTTGCAGACAGCTAGCTTTTTTTTGTGGTAGAAGCAGACAGCTAGTTGCGTTGCTTTTGGAGATGAAGGTCAACAATGGCACTGATGAATGAAAAGATGACATATTCTTGTCGCTAGCTTGCTTGTTGTATAGTAGTTTGCTGTCTTTTTTACAAAAAGTACAAATAATGATATTAATTTTATATTTTTTTATTTAAATATATTAATTTTATCAATTTATAATAGTAAGATATTAATTTTTAATTTTAAAATATTTAAAAATATTAATTTTTTTAAAAAATACATTTGTTATGTTAATATTATTATTTAATTAATTTTTAAATAAAAAATAAAA